ATGTAATTGGAATAAATTTTATAATAGTCGCTAAAAAAAAAATTTGTTGTCATGATGATTTTTCATAACGATAAATTATATATACATGTATGTATATGTATATAATTTTATATAATATAAAAATTATATTTCAACCATTTTGTCAGAAATCATCCTGTGTCCGCTTGTGCATAGCTTTTATTTATAATATTCATATATACGTATAATTAATCATTTAATATCGCGTGAAACGGGCGTGTCACTACTCCGAAGTCGATATCCTTTAAATTATACGTAAGAATGTTATTTTGAAAGTACTTCGTTCACGGATAAGTACTTTGCATAATCAACGACACTATTAGAAAGGAAAAGTCTTGTGAAGTATTTTACTAGCTTGCGATATGTACCTACTTGTACTCATTTTCCTTGAAGCCATCGTGATGATCTAAATTCCTAATTAAAGCTGTGTTCGCATAATGTTATTTCACAATGTAACGAGACAAATGGGTAAAAAAATTATATACTAATATAAAATATAAACATATCAATAGATTTTTTAGTATACTAATGCTGTCCTTGTTTGTCCATACGGCAAATTGTACAAAATTGAAGTTAAAATATCTCCTAAATTAATAGCGTTTTAAGCATATATATATATATATACCTTTCTTTGAAATTTAATAAAAATTTTTTAAATTAAGTGATTTCGAAATTTTCGATTTACTTAAAAAAAAAACTATTATATGTTATATACATTTATATATAATTATATTATAAACCATTATATATTATAGCCTTTGTACTAAAAATAATTTACATTAACAAATTTCTTCGTATCTCCAAAAACAAGAGAAATATTCAAGACAAATATAGGCAAAGTTGATAGATAATAGATAAGACTGATAGATAATAAGCGATTATAAATTCGAAGAAATTAAAAGTAATCAAGGTATGTTGAAGTTTTATCGGTATCTCTCGTCTAAGTTAAACGCAAATCAAACAATCCACACAGGTAAAGTTTTCATTCAACCTCGTCTCACGCATTGGATGCTCAGATAACCGATAACATTTGCATATCTTCGAGTTCCTTTCTCAATATCGATTCTTCGGTAGCAAAACACCATGACGTGTGAAGAAGATCGTGGAAGATTTGAAAATGATGGAAATTTTTTACAATTTTGAAATTATTTTCGCAACTGAAAATATATATATATATATATATATATATATATATATATATATATATAAGCTATAAATGAATGTAGATGTTTGAATCAGAGAACAAATTGACAGAATTAAAATTAAAAAAAAAAAAAATATCGTTGATTGTTAATAAATAAAAAGAAAAGAAGAAAGTGAATACGACACGAGCAAGAGAAAAATGTAAATAAATTTTTTAATTTTTAAAACAGTCAATTTGTCAACATATATTTACGATAATATTTCACTGAAGATTTCAAGCAATTTTTTAAATAGAAAAATTACAGCTGCAAGAATACAAAGATTTTTTTCAATGTTAATACAAAAAATGTATCTACAGACTACGAATATTGCTGGAATATGGAACAAAAAATGAAAAAGATTCTTTTCTGGAGTATACAATGAATAGCTGTCGCGAACATCATACGTGATGTAGACAAACGGGAAAGCAACGCACCTTTTATTGATCATGTTCGATGGATTTACCGACGCCGGGTAACTAAGGCAGAAAATAAAAATCACTCTGATTTCTCTCTCTTCAGATTTTCTTTTTTTTTTGTTTTATTTTTTTACACAACCAGTGCAACAAAATAATCACATAACTGTAATTTAAATTTAAATTATCACGTTTATGATACATGTATGTATTATAAAAAAATTAATATGTTAAATATTAATCTCAAGGTATTACAAAATTCAAATAGAGATCTCAATTTTTATCATTAATTTTAAAAATACGACTAATTTTATTATACCATATAAACTGACTAATTTAAAATATTTCACAGTTGAATAATTTATAAGACCAATTTTTTGTTTGTGATTAGAAATAAAGTGAAATAAAAAATTAACGTTCATTTAAATAGCGATTGTTAAATTTCTGTATTTGGCATTACAGTTGCAATACATTTGAATCTACAAGTTTTTTCGAACCTCTTGAAAGTAAACAGATCTAAGACTGATAATTATTGTATATAGATTAGGTAACCTCGCCGATTTTTACGACTTTAAAATATGTTGTCACAGACATAATTCTAAGAAATTGTTGTCAGAGACATAATTCTTTTCCCTGTACATGTTACTGAAGTTCGACCTTAGTTCTCAAGATATTTGTAAAAATATTTTTGTCATTCTGTTGGGATTAGGTTTGGCAGATTTTTGGGAAGGAGATGCCAAGCTCCACCCTCGCCTTTATTAATATTATATTATAATAATATAACAATAATTATATAATTATATATATTATATTATTATATCACAATAACACAATAACATAACAATCACGTCTGTAAGCAATCGTTATTTCACGAGATTGATCTGCATTTACCTACAGTTACATTCTGGTTGTCATCGTGGCTATGTAGCTATTATTATTATAAAGCATTACATACTTTTATAACATTATAAAAAAATAAAATGAAATTATATGAATTTTTAGACATTTGTAACAGTTACTGTAAACTGTGAAGTTGTATTAACCACAGCAAGAAATTTAAAAAATATTTTTAGCATTTTTAACATGCACAAGGAAAAATTGTTTAGAATATCTGATCTATATATAATTACTTTGAAATTTGCTTTAAAAAAAAAGGCAAAAAGAAATATTCTTTTATTAAAATAAAACATTTATTTAAATGTTCCTACAAAAATATCCAACAGATTTTAGATTTCAATGAACCTCATTTGATTTATCTATCGCCGGAAATTCAATTTAGATATGATTCAAACATTAATTGAAAATATTAAAAGTAGGTTGGTAATAATATCGAAAGAATTAATTGTAGAACCTAATCGATCATTCATAATTCACATTAAAGATTTAAAGAAAAAGATTTACAATAACAATATAATTGGCATATTTATAATTAGCACGTCAGACGACAAAAGAAAAAAATTTGAGAATTATGCCGACAAATTACTCCGATATTTGCCTCAATAAAGAATTTGTCATGAATAGTAATCAATTATTGTCAAGTCACGTAATTTTCACTACACGCGATCAACTAGCCGACGATATAGTGACATCTATATGTCTCTAATTTATTACTTTCAATGTTAGAGACGCGCATAATCTACCTTAAAAATCATGAGAAAGTGTCTTCTATACAAGATTATAAATTAATATAGAAATTTACATTAAAAAGAATTTATTAGAATTTATATTAAAAATATGTCATGATTTTAATTGATAATATCGCAAGATTTTGATAGGTTATTATTTACATGACGTTGATTTTAGTTGTTAAAAGAGCAACTGAAAAAAATTAGATTCTTAAAATGTCATTTTAAAAAAGAATAATAAACAACAAATTTAAAAATAATATTACAATTTAAAATACGGTTGTTTCAACCTTTTTCTTTTACTGTAAGCAACATGCATAAACAATCGTTTATATTTATGAGAAACTGACAAAATAGAAATAAAGAAAAATAATTATTATCAAACGACTGAATAAATATAATTTTATTTGGTCGTCGCATCATAAATTTGTCTTATACAATGTAGTATACATATGTAATATAGATATATAAAACCAATAGTGATGTACATATGAAAAAGAAAAATGTAGTTAACAATTCATTCATAACATTCGAACATAGTTAACAATTTTTTAAACACGATATTATTTAATTCGTGTATTTTAAATATTATTTAATAAGTATATTACGTACAATAAAAATGATTGAAACAACATTTGTGTATATTGAATTATAAAATTATTTTTAAATAAACAATCCTTATTACATCTGTATAATAATCATTAATACAACCACAATTATGATATGATAGATTGATAATTTTTACTCACTTCCCCAACGAACTGGCTACATGTAGTCAAATACTTACATTCGTGTTCGACCCGGCTCTTGTATAAGTACACGCATATACATATAGCTGCCAAATCAGATACTATCGCCGGTATAAAAATTCAGCAACGTTTTTTCATGTTTGTACATCAAGTATACTAGATCCAAGTGTCATAGTGCCAGGTAAATCCAAAGCAATCATTCTCGCATCAACATCTATAGAAGTGACAGCTAACTACAGGAGAAATTATGGGGAATTGTTTTACGCGATAAAGTAGCATGCGGGTTGCGTTGCGCACGCCAAGAAATGCGCGCATATAGCTACATCAAGTTATGCATTCACACATACACACACGAACACACGGAAGAAACTAACACCGATCAAGACGATGCGTCAAAGCAGAGGCGGTAATCATTCGTCATTAATGTAAAATCAAAAACTACCAAGTATATTGTCTACAAGATAATAAAACAATATATATAAATATATATAACGTAATGTAATATATATAAGAAATTGTATGAAAGTTCTCACGATTCAAGAATGGATTCACCAAGAATACGATGGAATTGCATTCACATGCGATGAATTTCTCACAATATCTTTCACGGATACGGCGGGAAAATCATTCGGTCAATATCTCGTAAAGTCGTAAAATTACACTAAGAGAAGTTTGATCATGGTTTCTGTTATCAAACAGAAAACTATCAAGAATTTATAGTAGGAAATCTGAACAAAGTATTCGGCCGTGGCACTTGACTGTTCGATTTTTGCATATCCAACTTCGATGTCTCTTTATCACGAAGTTGTACAGCACAATAACGAACTTTATTGTCACAAAGAGTATTCTTAACAATCCTAACGTCGACGTGAATACGTAGCTGGGCATTTACGAATTTATAAAACAATGTTGTTAGATGTGTATCCACCACAATATCGAGATGCACGATAGTAGGCGCGGCTTTTTACCCCGTGCAGAAAGACGATTTCGTGTGAGTGATTTGCCACGTACCTATATAATCCGAGCGTGTACTCTTCGTCAACGATGCTCGTGCTATCCACAAGTGAAACTCGCGGTACCGATTTAACACAGAATCGCGAACGAATCGTGTTCTCGGCACTTTTCAACTCGTGCTTGTCGCACGCCAACCGAGTCCGCCATCTTGGGGCAACCGCCAAACCCCCCCAGGCAAGACAATACTTCCCTATAAAAAGTTACTAGGAAGCTCTGTATCTTTTCCATCTCTCTCTTGCTCCTTTTCTCTTAACCCTTAGAACGTTGCCGACTATATTTTAAATCGTTCTGCTCTTTTTCAATCACACTTAACTTTAAACATTAACTATCCTTATCGTGACTATTATTAGCGTATTTATCTACACTCGTATTTTTATGAAACAGATGAGAAAAGTGGAACCTAAATAGAAAATTGTACTATATATTTTGAATATTTTATATTCTATATATAATCTATATATACATATATGCATTTTTCCACCTATAAATTCCATTTCCACCCATAAATCTAGTAATTATGCTTAAACCTACATATATTAAGCTTAATTTCGATATCAATAGTAATTTAAAATTTCGTGTTTTCATTTAATGTAATTTAAGAATAATGTAATTACATTTATGTTAATCATCTATATTTGATGTCGTCAATATGTTATTCATTTTCCCGATTATTAGTTTTCTTAGTGGCGAAATAACGTGTAGCTTGAATGTATCCTTGGAAATGTTTATTTTTTGATAAATTCACTAGACTACACCAACAAACTTAAAAGATATCTCTTACTACATTATCGGTCATACGTTTTGATTTAAATAATTCTAATTAGTATAAATAATAGTTTATTAGATATTGATTACCTGTTATTAATTATAACTGACTATATTTAATTCTGTAATTGAAAGTTGATATTTTTTATGATTAAAGCATTTATGATTAGAATTATAAGTTTATACTTAATTTATAATTTATATTTATATATAAAAAAAAATTTTATTAACTTTACATAATATACTAAATATTACTATACTTTATTAATTTATATTACTGAGAGAATACAATCAATTAGCTATATGTTATAAAATCTGTTATATGTTCCTCTAAATTGTTTATGAATAATTTATTAATAATAATAATGAATATACGTTTGTTTAGAGAAAATTTACTATCTAGTTTTTATTTCTTACTTCATATAATGACAGTTAATATTAACTTAATCTCATTTTCATTCACAGATTTCTAATTACTTAATGATGAGCAATTTACAATTCGATTATCTCATTTAGACAGTAATTAGAACATAAACAGACAAATGCATTTATATGTAACTATTTTTAAATTTTTACATGAAAACTAACATTATTGAAATTTCACAGAAACGAGGCCTTTTTAGTTAATCACGATAAACAGAAGAAATATATCAATTTAAAAATCAAACATTGCAGAATCAATCAACACACGAGCTGTATACAATATCAATTGCAAGGGGCTTTCGAGAAAATTGAAGATTAGTTAAAATGCATTACTAATTAAGTCATGTTTTTATGATAATTTTTCTAATGTCAACTTGGAAAGCTACTAAATTCCTAACCTGAATGAAACATCCTAATTTAATAACAACAGAGTGATGTAAACATTATTTTCCTTAATATGTAGTATAAAATGAAATCTAGTCTGACATCTAGCGGTTTAAATTTGAACAATGAAACTTGCGATAGCTTGTATGATAAGTGAATTGCAGATTTATTGATTATTGATAATATCGTGATATTACAATTGAGAAAAGATGGGATAAACTGGACATTAAATAGAACTTGATGTCTCAGAGTCTGAAAATATCTTCCAGCAGCAAAATCACTGGCACTGACTAGCTAGGATAGATCGAAAATCCAATGCTTTCGTCAGACGAGATATATGATACCTCGTCTGTGCTTTCATGTTTTGCTTCTTTTTAGAAGTCGTCTTACCATTTTCGTAATATCACATTCTGCCATATCGACATAACGGAGCTCTTTCGGCGATAGCACAGACGAGGTATATGAATGATATACTTCGTCTGTGATAGAAATTAAGATTAAAAAATAAGGACAGTGCTGCCGAATCCGCACCAATGGATATTGGCCATTTAAAACTACGTGTGAAATATTTTTTGTGTCCTTGTAATAAAAAAAGATGTTTGAGACCATATTTAAATGAGATGCTTTGTACATGGACAGGATTCAATGTATAGATTTTTGCAAACATCTCGGGAACTGAGAGAATCCGACATTTTCGTCAGAGGAAAAAATTGTTTAAAATGTCGTTTTCTATATTTAAAAATCATCAAAATCAAGTGCACTAAATTTGGAAAGGGTAGAAGGAATAAAGCTTGTGCCTTGTTATCTTTGGAGACACTTTTTGATTTGTTTTCGCTTATTGGTAACATTGGACATCCAACACGCATATACATTCAGTTGTTTAATTTTGTTCTACTCAGAACCGAAAAGAATGTTACAATTTAATAAATATTATTAAAATATACATAAGATTTAAACTGGTTGGTTTTAGTATTCAATTAATAGTTACTATAGTCTTATGATTTAGTAATAATAGTAATTACGTCTGGTCCGAGTCAGATACTATGTGATTCGACAATAATTTGATTTATAGTGTATGAAAAAGTTTACTACTCAACCAAAGATAGCTTTTGAGTAGAGGATCATCTCTTATAAAACGAAGTTCGCTAGCGATAAATGCCAAACAATCTCAACACAAACCAAACATAAAACATATACATGTTACAAACGTCAAGTTCCCTAAGAAAGACCAAACAATTGTAATAGCTTCATTAGAAAGCACATCAATTAAGAATTACGCAAATGCTCTTGCAATTGTACAACAAAATCCCGTTGCCTTAATCTGACTTATTTATCGAGTCAGTAATAATAGAGTACATATCTATTTCAACGATTAAATGAAGTGATTTAGATAAACTAACAAAATTTTTTATAATTACTGGAGAGAATTTATTCGAGATTTATTCGTGAGAAAACGATTCAAAAGGAAATATAATAGAGAAGATGATACTAAATTACAGTTTAATAATCGTAGTCTTAAACGACCATGATCCTATAGGTCAGGCACTTTGCGAGAGTCTGACTCTCGATGAGCCGATTCTACTGCCTTTTTTTCATTTTAGGTGGTTTTTTAGACAAATTCCTTAACCTTGCCTACTACGTGTAGGCTAACTGCTGCATGTATAATCGTTGAAATCAACATGTATAATATCACTTTAAGAGCGACGCACGGCGATCAAATTGAAGTATGACAGCGAGGCTCCTCTGATGGGATGGGGCTCATATGACGGTAAAGTATAAACTGTGTTGGTGAGGCTCATGTGACATACTAATAGGACTCGTGCGTTATCCAAAAGGAAATTCCCTAGAAATAAAAGTTCCTAAAGAAGAGGCTGTTTCTCCCCGCAAACCATCAGTTCGACAGGCTTGCATTAATCGATTCAGCTTGTCATTTCCTATAAAAAAAAAAGAATATTAAACTATTTATACCAAAAAAAACCTTTAATTCGTAATAAAAGATATTTTAATTGGAATAAATTAATTAAATTGCAGTATGTTACTTGTTCAAAGTCAAATTTCTTTGCTCAATTTCGTTAAATTGTTTTTGTGGCCAATTCTAAAAAACAATCTGTAATAATATGCTGTAAAATTTTTTATATGTTCTTCCAGTCGAAAAAGCTAGTGCTTGAGATTTCACACTTCATTTTTAATAGGATTTTTAACAATATATTAGATATAAAATGATTTCTAATATATAACGTGGCACAGATATAAATCATAATGATTGCACAATGATTTCACGTGACACGATGTAATGTGTTTTTACTTTATGTACAGTGTAACGTGATTATAATTCATATTCAATATATTTAAAAAAATGGAAATATGTCGACTCATGCTATTCGAGTGTGTCATATGTCATGAAATAGAACGTGAACTGTATATACAAAGTTATAAAAAATATTTGTAATTCAAGTAACAAATGAGGTGCGAACTCGCCAAGACACTTGTATAAAATAATTATTTTTTTTGAACGAATTCAATAAATAGTATCATTTTTAACGAACATCAATTATAAACGAGGTTTTCAGAAGTCTATTTAAATTTGTAAGATATGATGCAAAGATAAAGAGAGCAAAAATTGTTGAAGATATTGACGGGATCAAAGTCTTGAATGAGAATGAAAATAAAGTTACCAATCCATAAAAATTATGGAAAATTTAAAATATTATTAACAAATTAGTCTGTATATTACCATTAAAAATATTGCAAGACGACATAACTAACAAATATAAAGTTATTTTTGTTTTTTTTTTACATTGAAATCTTTGAATTAATAAATAATAATAAAATTATTTCAATTTGAGATTATTAGTCTTTTGTGGCCAACTTGGTCAAGTAATTAAATCAATTACTAATAATACGACACCAGTTTCCATCTGAAAATTTATATTGCCTTCATATTCGCCGTGCTATCCAAATCTTTTTAATTCAATCCAATACCTTTATTCATAGATACGATAATTATTTATCGTATTAGGCCATTATCATAGACAAGATATACTGATCTAATATACAATACATTTTTTTGTAATACGCTCGTAAGGACTCCATTATTATTTTCTTGTCACATCCTGCCATACCGATTTAGGCGAATTTTGCACCGCAACGATATCAGTGGTAGGAATTAAAATCGAAAAATATGAAGTGTTGCCATATCTGCACCGAAAATTATTTATTGAATATACATAATGATTTAGAGTAACAGTTGATGAAAATTTAGATGAAAAATTTATTATATATTTAATTATTTACATCTATTAATTACGTATTTAAAGGTATTAGAAAAATTTGATCGAAATATGATATTTTCACGAATAATATAATTAAATGTATTAATTTATTTATTAATTTATTTTTTATATATATAATTTATTTATATAATTTAATAATTTATTTATTAATTTATTTATATATATATAATTTATTTATTAATTTATTTTTTATATATATAATTAAATGTATTAATTTATTTATTTTAATGTGTGTGTTTATTAAATTTGTAGCCTTAACGAAGCACTTTGTAAATATGGAATTTTCTTTATCCCGTAACTTCGATTTTGTCCACTTTACATTTTCATTTGAATTGGAAACTAAATTGCTGAAATTTGCTTCAATATTTTCTTTTGCGTGCACAAGAAAGGAATGATTCAATCATTCTTAATTTAGTACTAATTTGGTTTCTAAAACCATTATGTTAAGTGTTATCAAGTATTTAAGCAATTAGAGCTCGTCATGAGTTAAAAATGCTAACGTAAAAATTTGATATTCAAATTCTTTCAATATATGTATTCATTAACAGCTTTTATTTCGATTTAGTATTTTTTATAAAAAAAATCGTTCTAGAATTTTTGCTCCATTTAACCATCGTACTTTATTACATAATAATATAAACTCATGTGATTGATGTGGTGGGGAAAAAGGACAAGTTATAAAGAATTGGATTCATCAAAAAAATGTTTTTACAAATATTATTTGGTATAAAGAAACATAAATGTAAAGCAATGTAAATTTTTTCGCGAGTTTTATAAATTGTCTTGTGGCGGAATAAAAAAATTTATTTCTTTAAATGACACCAAGAACATATTTTCTTTTCTATTTAGTTTAATTGAAATGAATTCATAAAAAACGAACTTCTTATTTCTCCTCATGTCTCTTACGTCAGAGAAATGTAATAGTCACCTCAAATCTCAGTAACTTAGAGTTAACAAAAATGATACAAATAAATGATTTTATAAAAATTTACTGATACATTAGCATGTTTCATTGAGATTTTTTTCTAATTTAAGATATTATTTCCATTTTTCTTTACTTAACCTTCGATTGCTCATCAATGTGCGAATAATAAATGAAAGGTGAGAAGCGAAAAGCGAGTTGCATAAATATAGCTTTAGAATTACCTGGCGAAAGCATAGTTGCCAAAACGTATCCCAAAAGTTTGACATGGTTGCCATATTTCTCTTACTATTCTGCCATGCATGCCGGTGAAAATAAAAACTCAATGAGATGATCACATAAATGAGTTGCACGATCATTCGTGTATCAGATTTTCACCGCAACTAAAATTATTCGTCCCGTTTCCGTTTCGCATTTGAGCAATTTAGGCGAACTTTCATTTAAATAATAAATAATAAGCAATAATTAAAGATATAAATGACAAAGTTTTTATTAAAATAAAAGTTATTTGAGTAATATAAAAATTTAATTTATTTCATATTTTTTGATTTTCAAGAAAAAGCATATTTGAATTAGATCAAATAATTTTTAATTTTCTAATATCTATTATATTTTATACAATGAAAAAATCGCGCGAATAATGTGTAATTTTTTTGTAAATGTAATTTGTTGACTGTTAATTTTCTTCTCGACAAACCTAGAGAATAAAAATATAAAAACTAATAAAAAATAAATATTTGTTTTAAACTAAAAATATTACATCTTTTATACCTTTTTTTTTTTTATTTCAATTGTCGAGTTAAAATACATAAAATAGAAATAAGTAAAATAATTTAATGCACGATAGGAATTTTTATACCACTCCTTTATTCCAAACAAACTATATCGTCAAACGAAACTAAATTTTTTTTTTCGTTGAGTAGAACAATAGTAGAAATATGAGAACCGACAATATTCTCCTAGAATGCACTTTAATATGTCTTGAATAAAAAAATCTGAAATTTGCGTGCCTTTAAATTCATTCTCGTTTGTCATTTCCTGTGGATAACATTAGTGGTTCCTATTTCACATATGAATCTCAAATTTACAAATTATTGATCTGAATTTACTATACGTTGCATCTGAATTTACTACACGTCGTTGTAAATATTATAGTCATCAACCACGATTCAGATTTATTTAAACCTTTTCAAAACGGATTTTTTTCTTTTACAATTAATCCAATTGTATAATTCTTACTATAACATATTAACCTGTAAAAAAGAATTAGATTTACTTTACTTATACTTTTACTAAATTACTTTTTACTATTAATTTACCTAAACTTGATACTTTACTTAATACTTTTGAAAATAGGATACCTTGTCTCTTATACTGAGATCATTTATAGTTATATGAGTACGAAACAAATTTATTTCTACATTCTAGGTATTTATATTACATGCTCGTTTATGTCATTATTATGTTGGTAACATTACATGTAACATGAAAATAAAAAGGAAGTCCAGATGATCCTTAAAATGTTAAACACAAGAAAATGTTGTGTATAAAATTTATGTTGTCTTTAGTTAATTACATCATATACGTTAAAGAAACTACATATATAAAATATGAAAAATACAATGTACAAATAAATAATAAGCCAAGCTAAGAGAGAGTACAAATGTCAGAACATTCGCATTCTAAGAATAAACATAGGAAAATGGCAACATTGTGAAATCAAAGTCATTATTCTGAACTAACTTAAAACTTAATTGTAACTTAAGTTTTTTATCGCATGTAACATACGATGTCTGCATGCATAATTAATATGCATAAATCTGAAATATGAAGTCAAAGCTTCATAAAATAAATAAAATTATTAAAATTATTAAATAAATAATTTTATCTTATAATTGTTGAATAAATTATAAAATAAAATTATCAAATTAAATAATAAATTATAAAATTAACAAATTTAATAATTATTTTATTAAATATATAACTCCTACATTAAAATTGTTTTTAAATTTGCAAATGTAATATAAATGAGATGGAAATAAACGACGAATACGCAAGAAGTATATATCAAATTTAAATTACACCGTTATTAAGGAGAAAGCGACTCTAATTTGATGCTAGAAAATTAGTTTGTTTCTTAATCCTCATCTAATAACAGTGTAAACATGAGTACCAGATTTTTCGTGTCATTTAAACCTGTTACTTTTTATAGAACAATAATAAATTATAATTATCTAAGAAACAGGAGTCTGTCTATCAGTGTCAATAAATTTGAAATATGTTTTCAAAGTCATCATTCTGAACAATTTCTCCTTGTACCGCCTGTTCAAAAACTGCGGTGAAAAACATGTTATTCTAGATTTCGCTGTAATTTTAAAGAGAGTTTCATTCTACATACAAATAATGTATTTTTGAAAATTTTGAAAATTTCAAAAGCTTGGATCAAAATTATATAAAAGACCTGTATAAAAGTTTAAGAAGAATCATTGAAGTGGTGCAACGTGAAGGACAGACCACACATTATTAAAACTAGGAAAATTATGCAATTTTACTTAATTTTCATATTTTTGTTATTTTATATTAAAAATGCCTTATCATTTTGTCTACACTAAATTTCATTTTTTTTTCTTTTTTTTTTTTGTATAAATAACGAATAGATTGAAGGATTTATTTAATTTTTTTATATATTATGTCAAAGTTAGTATTTTATTTTCTTGTGTATTTATTTTCCGCGTATATGTACAAATAAATGTTCATTTAAAAAAATCTTGAGGTGCCTTATCATTTTGTCCATCAGTGTAAGTAAACAACTTTTTTTATAACATGCATAAAACATTATGTTCGTTTCTAGAAATTGAACATACTAATTATTACAAACTTAATAATAAAAAAAAAACGAATGTACTTAACATCTTAAATATTCAAAAATTCATTTCATCATGTAAAAATAATATTTATCAACGATTTCTTGTCTTTTTCGCTAATGAAAATTATCGAATTTTTTCCATTTTTTATTTTTTATTAATGATGAAGATTTTGTTAAACATTTAAACTAATTTCCTAATCGACGACTGATAATTTTATATTAATCAATGTTGTATGAAGATTTTTTTAAACATTTAAAATAATTTTATATTGACGATTGATAATTTTATATTAATCAATTAATGTTACATGAATGAGAAATATTTCACTTTTGTCTTTTATCATAAATTTTTAATCATATTTTAACGATGTGTGTAAATCTTTTGATAATTAAAAATATATGTAAATTCTTTTATTAAAATTTATCTCGTCATATATGTAATACTTTTTGTAATCAATGTCACATGACTAGTTCTATATATATCTAATACTTTTTAGTAATCATTATTACCTAATAAACATATTCACCTTTGTACTCTTTCATCATTGCTATTTTACACAACAGCATAAAGCATATATTCAAGGACAGAATCTTTTACAAATTGAATTATGCAAAAATGTCATACTTATCCTAACTGAGTATTATGCACACAAATATTAGGTAATTTTTTCTTCTCATATAAATTAAATCTCATACTATATATTTCAATTTGTAGATTTTTTCTTCTCATGCTCAAATTGTTAAGAATTGATAAGAACAAAATGGATTTTGTATACACACATTTGTAAAAATTATAATATAAGTAGAAAAACAAACCTCACATAGTATTTTAATTACCATTTATTTTAATTGTTTAATTATCATAAATTATCATTTATGAAATTAGAATGATAATTAAGATGTAAGACACCTTTTAAAGTGTATATTTTATTTGTTGTTCAATTATTATTTAATTATTAAAATAAATTTTGATATCCGGAACATATTTAAATATTTATATAACGAAAGAATTAGAAGAAAAAATTTAGTTCAAAACATGTACTGTCAATGTGCATATGAATATCGAATACAGGTGTAATTTGTACGTTTTTCAACATGAGTGATAGTTTTTCAAAACTAGCAGCTATATGTACATAAATGTTCCACTTTCTTTTTTATGTCTAATGCATACGATTATATAAGTTACAATAATGTGTGTAACAATTAATCTAATAAATCAAGAAATCTAGATCTTTCCAATTTCCTAACACGTGCGTTTCGTTGTTCCTTTTATGAACGTTAAATAAGCATCAGTTCTACGCGAATTCTAGCTTCAGTTTACGACGGACAGCAGTGAACGTACGACGTGTAACTTGCGATATACCGTTATACCGGCAGTGTTTTACTTGTCACGTTTTTTTTACATTATAGGAACACCTAGTATTTTCCTTCTTTTTTTTCCCCATTGAGTTTTCAAAGCAATTATCCGATAAAGTATTGCACAAGTACGAGATATAATGGCATCGAACGTAATTGAATTTTATAACGGTAAAACTGTGTTTATCACCGGTGGAACTGGATTCCTTGGAGTTTGTCTTATCGAAAAATTACTGAGATCTATTCCCGATCTGAAAACTATTTATCTGCTAGTCCGACCAAAAAAAGGGAAAAAAGTGGAAGAGAGACTGGAAGATATAAAACAGAATTCGGTATGTTAATGTATATTTAGAGTATAATCGTATTTATCTTGTATCTATCTGTCTTTTATTAAATGAGGTCGTTATGTGGTTACCCAAACCTAACCCAAACCTTTAACCAACTCGAGTATGTCATTTTAAATCGGGATTATTGAAAACATTCTTATCTTTAGTCCATTAAATATTCTACATACGTAATTTTTTTGTATGTAATCGTAACTGTAGGAAAAAAATTGTAGAATGTTTCATAATTGTCTTATTATACTTTTTCTATACCAAAAATTTATATGTCATTGATATTTTATTTTAAAAGAGCAAGTTTTTGTTGATATTTAGAATTTCAGATCGTATTACAAAATGTTCTGTATTTTTTTTAACTTTTTCTGAAGTAACTTTTTCTTAACTAACTTTAAGAATTATTTATTCATTCATTTCACTGAATTCATTTTTTTATTGTAATTTATATTGTTCTTGTGTATTATATATTATTTTCATTAAATTTCAATAAAGATTTAATTTTATTATTAATATTAAATTTATTAATAATATATTTTCTTTTATTCTATTATTGTAGGTATTTAACAGATTAAAAGAAGAGAATAAGACAGATCTTTTTAAGAAATTAATTCTTATAGCTGGAGATGTCGGAGAAGAAAATTTAGGATTATCATCAGCAGATAGATTGACTCTTGTTGAAGATGTTCAGATTGTTTTTCATTCTGCAGCAACATTGGATTTTGAAGCAGATTTGAAATCTGCTACAAATATTAATTTATTAGGCACACGTAGAGTTGTCCAGCTTTGTCAAGAAATAAGAGATCTCAAGGTAAACCATCTATATATGTTACCTAGTTATATTAATTTATAATGTACATTTCTTTAATATTTTTACTTTTTACTTTTAGGCTCTGGTGCATGTTTCTAGTGCATATGTGAACTCAACATTGAATGAAGTAGAAGAGCATGTTTATCCTGCACCATATGATGTGAATGAGTTAGTTGGATTAATAGAAAAATTAGATCTTGAAACATTGAAAGCAGAAACTTCAAATATAATAAAGCACCATACAAATGCTTACACGTTCACAAAACACTTGGCTGAACATGAAATTAAGAATGGTCGTATTCCTGCTGCTATTGTGCGTCCTTCAATGAGTATGTATATTAAATATGAAAGTATTTTTTGAATAACGAACAAATCTATGTACTTTAAATATCTTATATTTGCAGTAACAGGAGCATGGAAGGAACCAGTTCCTGGATGGACAGTATCAAAGAATGGTCTGCAAGGATTTTTACTGGGTGCTGGTAAAGGTGTCATAAGAAGATTACCAGTTGCAAAAGAATTAATTTACGATTATATTCCAGTGGATTTGGTTGTAAACAATCTCATTACCGCAGCTTATGCTGTTAATTGTAATAGGTATGATAAAAATTTCTTATTTATGTTATTTACATATACAATAGCTTCTTGTTACAGTCAAAAAGAATTGAAAGTGTACCATTGTACGTCGAGTACGCGTAATCCCTTCAAATGGATTACTATAGAACCACACATCAATTCTTACCTGCATAAATATCCATTACAAAGTGCTGTTTGGTATCCATACCTTAAATTGCTACCGTCGATTTTCATGTTTAAACTCTCTGCAATTTTTATGCACTTAATTCCAGGATATATTTTGGACACCGTTACAAAATTAGTAGGTGGTCGACCAATGTAAGTTGTAAATGCCCACTTAACTATTTCCTGCAAAAATTAATCACATATATTTGGTACATTTTCTACATTGCACTTTTTTTTATAATTTACGAATATAATATAATCTTAATTAATAAAGAACATTTTTTAGATTGGTACGATTACACACAAATGTTAATAACTCGGTGGATCGTCTAAAGACGTTTATTTTTACTGAATGGAAATTTCATAATCCTCGTACATTAGAGTTACATGACTCGCTATCAGAGGTTGATAAAAAACTTTTCAATTTAGATATTAAACAACTAATATGGCAGAGTTATTTTATTGATTTGGTACAAGGAGTCAGACAATATTTGCATAACGAATCCCCGAAATCATTGGCAAAAGCGCGTTCTAAAGATAGGATGTAAGTACAATTCTTTTTCTTTTCCTTATTATTGCAATTAAAGAGAATACATTAATTTAAAATTGTCTACTTTTTATATTTTTAGTCTATTGGTTGCTCATTTGAGTTTGCAAGCTGCACTGTTAGGACTTGTTTGGTGGTTAACCAAAACTGTTTTTGCTACTTCGTGGACTGCTGGTAGTTTTGTCGTCTCTATTATTTATCTTCTTTTTAGTCAGTTATAAACTACAATTATATAATTTAATTCAATAACATTCTATTTAATCAATAAACATTCCCTTTTATCAACGTCACGTACTACAAACATACGTATGTTGGATAAAGATTCGTTTTCCACATTTTTTCAGTATAATTCATCAAAAGTACACATAGATACATTTTTATACATTTGAAGAACAACATGGTGTTGGGAAATAAAATTATATAAATAATATTATATAAAGTATTCAATTCTTTCAGTTGAATGTTACTACGGTTTACATTGGAAATATAATATATATGATTCAAAATAAAAATTGAAATATTTTATTTCTTTTAAATTGTATTATAAATTTATTTAAAAGAAACCATACATACCATTTTTTAAATTGTCCTTTTATTATAACGAAAAAAAAAACAAAGTTTATTTTTTAAGAAGGTAATTATTTTCTTTTTTCAATCTTTTAATATTGTTTTTGAAAAAATTCAAAATCTAAACGCGCGAGTTTATACGCAAGTAATATAGTATTGTATTGAAAAAATATATGCTTTTTCATGAATTCCCAGCCTATGAAATATATGTCTATCCTAATCTAATCTACCCTAGGTATGATTTTTTATGGGATGAGGTGCAGGAAGAAAAGCATTTAGATTTTGAACATTCATAAAGGCAATTTTATTTGCCTAAACCAAAAGAATATTATGTTTTCATTTATTTTTATAAAAAAGGGAAAAAAATATTCAGACACTCGGATAGTAGAACAAGTTTCTTATCTGATTTTTATTTTCTGTCTTTCATACGTTAAGTTTTCGTAAAATTATCTTCTGAATGGTTAAATTCTTAAAATTAAGAAATTATGATATTTTATATTCTCTTCCCATCCTTCATAATATTTTTCAAACTTTTCGATTGGCATTTAAAACAATATTCTTGTTTTGTATGGAGGTTTAAGTCAATTGGGTTGTAATTTCGAAAGACCCTAATAATGTCAAAGAAGGATCAACAATGAATGAAACAAAAAAATCACTTAGGCAATCGAAGTTACAATAACTAATTTTACGTGGATACTATAGATTACTATATTATCAACGATTTGATGGTCGACAATGATTACTAAAGCGAAAGCAATTGTGTTATTATAATGTCTATGCAGGCAGAATTCAGATATTTGAAGTCTTTTATTAATATCTCAGAAATTAATAAGTACCCGAAGCTAAAATTTTATATATTGGAGTCCTTTCTCCTCCAACTCGAATTTCAGTTCGATCAGCCACTATTCATTCGGAACTATAAGTTTGTTCATTTCGATTATGCTTTATTCAGTACTTTATCTGTAATATTTTTTTTTTAGGATATTGTTACGAAAAGCACCAATTCTCGATCAATATGAAATTTTTAGAGGGAGAGGAGAATTTTGTATTCCAAATATAAAATTTTAGTGTCGTGTTTTTATGAGGATTGTGGTATGGTATGATGGATAGTATCTATCAGAATAAAACGAAATTTTGAGAAGAGAAGAAAGAGAGAACCTCGAATATAAAATTTTACTGCGAATCTTTATCAGTTACTGAGATACCATTATCACAATAAAAGTTTATGATTCTAATGCATTGAATTATGCCTATATATGTAGATGTAAAGAAATTCGGTAGTATGCAGAATCTACGTGCCTTAAAGCATAAACATATACTAAGAACCACGGTTTCTAGAAAAGGTTGTAGCCTTATACGACAAAGAACGATGGTCGGCAAAAAAGGCTGAACGGGTAATTCGATGCGAGCTCTCGAACAATTCAGACAAACTGCAACTCTTTTGAATATACTATGTTTTATAATTATTTTTTACATAGACGTTCGTGTGACAGAATGAGGAAGTTGTCAATATATATGTGTGTGTGTGTATTTATCTATTTATTCGAGTTCCTCTTGGACTACAGAATTGACTTCGAAACACGATCTTTCATACACAAATTTGTGTGTGACAAAAATCACTTACTGGCTCGAATGCGGTCCTATATACATATATATTGAATTTAAAGGGGACAGAAAATATCGGCGAAGCTTTGACTGAATGATATCTCTTCCATTTGAATGTTAGACTAAGCTAAGGTTTTTGTTGGTTTTAGGATAGTGACTCGTCTCTAGTTGTCAATAAGCGAGTCATTCAACTGTTTGTTATCCAACGTGTTGAATAACAACTGATATAAAACATCTTTGCTGTTAATATTATACATTTGTAAATCATGTGTTTGATTCGGACACAAAATGAAATTATATATTATTTTTAAAATAAAGATGACAAATTAATGGAAATAGTTCATTATTCCAAATGTTATTTTTTATCTTTATTTCAAATGAAATTTGGCCAATCCTGCGTGAAATATGAATATTTTAATTCCATCTCCTTTGGTCACATATCGAATGCCTCATTTTCTGAAAATCTCAGATTCGAAGATTACTCTTAAGAAGAAACGAAGAAATAAATGATGTGTTGCGTTAATTCATCCAAGTAAAATAATAAATAATCGAAACACAAAATGTGTTTATTCAACAAAATCAGAACCTATTTGGAAAATCATTTGTAGAAATAAATTTAAAATTCAAAATAAAATAAAAAATCATTTTACTTGATAGCCAAATAATAAAATAATTTGGAGAAAAATGATCTCTTATTCAAGTAAATTAACGTAAGATTCTATTTATTTCTAAATAACTATTTCAAAATAAATTTATTTTGGAAGTGGCCCAAGTCCATGTATCTTTGAATCGAGATAAATATAATCGAGTTAAATAACGGTTTGCGTTTTGATAAATTTAAAAATATTGGTAACTGATAACTATTGGTAGTATAATATTTTAGTATTTAGAAAATAGCATGTTTTTGATGGCTATAAATGGACTTAAATCACTTAAAACCACAAAATTAATGAAGTAACATTTTAATTTTTAAAAAGGCATACATAAGTTCCTTGAAAGAAATAAAATTCTCTTAAAATAAAAAAAAATATTATAAGTTTGTTATAAAATAAAAAACATCCAATTTTTAATTTTATTAACCATATTTTTGGTTATAGAAAGGTTTAGTTGAAATGAAATCCTTTATATTTAATGAAATTATTATTATTTAAAAAATCATTAACTGAGCTAATCGAACACTATTATTCTAATAATAAAAGATATAGCTATCTCATAAAATTTTATAACATACTTCATATCAGTTTGAAACTTTTAAAATGAGACTTGAGCCACTTTTTAATGAAAGTTTTAAATTTTTCTAAAAATAAAAATTTTTATCATTTTATCAACGAATTAATTTTCCGTGTACAAAATTTTAATGATTTTTAACATATTATAGAAATGTAAATATTGAAACAGCTAGCTCAATTTTTTATGGACTTAGGCCACTTTCAAAATAAACGGCTTACATAAAATAAATTTTCAAATATTTTATTTTAATAATTTCCAAGCATTATTTATGCTAGTATGACGCTCTATATTCTCTATATTCGCGTCAATAACACGATTAATTTGTTTTAATGTCTCTGTTTATCGACGTCATAAAAGTAGCATTGGCATCTTATAGCATTTCTGTATTCAAACTACGTGTTTTTATGTATCCATATCGCGATATAAGTTACGTGAAATGGTCTAAGAAGTATGATAACGCCTGTTTCATTTAAATGCCATCACGTGCATGTATTTATAGCTAGTATCTCAGTTCGTTGAACGAACTATAGTATTCTTCAATATGTAGTTCGGATTTTTTTTACCAGAAATATATTCTGTTTTTTATTAATGATACTACGGATTCGAATCTTTAGTATGGGCAATCCATACTCTTTTTATGGCCATCTCGTTCATTCGACTTAACGCCTGAACACTATTTCTCATAAAATGCAATAATGAACTCAAGCGTATATTACACTTTAACCTAAAGTCAATTTAAAGTATATAGAACTCCACCTTTATTTGAACCAAATTTTAATCAATACTCGATTAAACGAGTATCTTTGAACCTGAACTACTATTAAATGAGTGAAAATTCATTAGTAAAAGAAAGAATGAGTAAACTTCCATTACAGAAAAACGATTCGTTTATCCGAATACATCAAAGAACGAAATCGTTGGAATAATTGAATACTTAAATGACTCATTAGCTAGGAGATGATAACCACCTGTGACTCAGTATTAACTAATTCCTGCAAATACGGGATACGGTTAAATGAAGTTCTATATGAATTTCAAAAGATTGGTCTCTCGATAATATAATTCATATAAACAAAATTCTACTGTGTTGTTTCCTTGATTTAGTGATTCATTGAACATCAACTGTAAATAAACCCAGATCTTTCTACAAAAATTAAAAAGTAAATAGTCTGCCTATCTCTAACGATACTAAACGATCTTTATCCTCGAAGCAAATAGTCTTCCTAACTCTAATGATACTACCCGATCTTTATCCTTGAAGCAAATGGTCATTGTCACTACTTAATTATTAGTAAGACGACTGAATCATTAATACTTTATTAAATAGAGTAACAGCTTTTACTTGAAATTTAATATTCTTTTAATATCATTCCATTTAAAGAAAAACAAAGTTAAAATTCAAAAAATATAAAATTATACAAAATAAAAAAAAATTCAAAAAATACAAAAAGAGTTTCTTTTTACAAAATTATTATAGTTTCAATACTTAGTATTCGAATATCAATGTGAGTCACTGTACATATTTATTCAAATTTATGTCATTTTATTCATTTTAATTAAATTTATTCATTGTATTCATTGTATTTTAATTAAATTTATTCATTGTATTCATAGACTACTAAACGTTTTGATATACTAAATGAGTTGTAAACATATCTTCTTTACTTAAATTATTCAAATTTAATACCCTACTATTTTTTTTAAATCAAATAATTTTTTCAATTTTTAATAACATTATTAATAATTATACGTATATTTACATTAATTGCAATTGCAATAATTTATTAATTGCAGTATTGCAATATTTATTTCAAATATGTATATCAATGTTCAAACCTTTTAAATTAATTTTGTATAAAATATAAGTTATAATAATTTGTATTTCTCATTTATATATTAAAGTCTTATATATTCGTCATGTCAATATTTAAAAAGAAGATATTAATAGCATTTAAGCTTGTTGGTATATGCACTTATAAATTAACTTTAATGTATTATAAAATAAGGTATAATTTGTAAATTATAATTTACAAATATTTTTCTGAAAAGTCACATCATTTAATGTCAGAATATATTTATTTAATTTTACATATATTTTAAAGTATCTTTTAAGATTTTGGAAATTAGATTATACATGTTCTTTGAGAATTATACAATACAAATTTTTAATTCTATCGCACTAGAATGTTTATAATATTTTTATTAACTGTTTTCTAATTTCTTGTACAACATATAGGTAAATATATATATCAATATATTATTTTTATTTTTATATAAATAAATGAATTTATTTTATAAATCATATTTCAATTTGTTTGTACAATTTGCTAATTGCAAAATATAAATTAATATAAATCATTTCGAACGAGAAATAATTGATAATTAAGATACAACCTTTTTTATATAATAAGTTTTTCTATATAAATTTTATATATGATGAATTTTGGTAAGAGTGTAAGGTTGTAAGAAATATTTTTCGAAAATTTATAGATTTTATAAAAAATTAAAAATTATAAATATTTGAAATTTCTATCTTTCTTTCTCTTTTTGCCCTCCTCCTCTCATTTGTTTACGCGCATACATACATGTACAGTGTATAATAATATGCCCTTAAAAGAAATTATACTCATTGTTGCAATTGAAAATTGAGAAAATATTATAACATTACATCTTCTTTGTTTATTTTACAGTATTGTTATATCTAAATTAAATTATTAAATTTTGTCGAAATAAACAAAAGATATAAATAATTAATTAATAATTATTGTACATGATATTGTGTAATTAGATAAAATATAAAAAATGTATATTTCATGTAAAAAATAGATTACATTGATGATATATAAATTTTAATGCTTTGGGCATAAAAATATTTATATGAAAAATTGGGCACAAAAACTATATATCATCTTTGTTTTTTCTTATAAGGGCATGATTTCATGAATAACTTATTGCACATAAAAATTAATGAACAATACGCTGTGCATATAAACTTAATCTTAATACATTTCAAAATATGCTTTCAATCATAACTAAATATTTGTAAATTATTAGTTATAAATGTTATACATTTCATAATTTTTCAGAATACTAGAATAGTACATATATTATGTATCATACATAATATCATAATTCCATTGTATTAATTTATCGAATACTAGTAAAAAGATTTAATACAGACTTGTTTTCTTTTTGACTACGTGCTTTGCTGAACACATTCCAAAAACGCAAGGTTTCATCTCCAGCACCAGTTACGATAGCTTCACCATCTGGTGACATTGCTAAATACAAAACTCTGTACGAATGTCCAGTTAATTTTGCAACTTGAGTCAGACTGGGATATTTCCACACCAAAATTTGGTTTTGAGAATAACCATGTGTACTAACTAACTCTGAACTATGCTTACTCCAAGCCAAATTACAAACTTGAGAACCCGTATCTACACATTGCATTGGTTGGCCAGTTAACGTGTTCCAAAATCTGATGCATCTATCAGCTGTGCCACCACCAGAGGCCAAAAGGCCATGATGATGTGGAGACCATGCAATAGCTTTAACAGCTGCTAAATGTTCGGTGTATGTTTGAATAGGTGACAGAGAATGTAAATTCCATACGTAAAGACGATTGTCATTTCCACCAGAAGCTAAGTATTGATTGTCGGGAGACCATTTTAGTCCACATACTTCCTGCCTGTGAGCTCCCAAACGTCTTTCACTTACAACACAAGGAGTTCTAACATCTCTTTGCAATATTAACCTATCTCTGCTACCAGATGATAAAATTTCACCGTTCCAAGCTAATGCTCCAACTCTTGCATTATGCCCTTGTAATTTGCTTACTTGTTTGCTCATAGCTACATCCCATACTTGAATATAGCCTAAATGCGTTCCAACTGCAACTAGATTCCCTCTTTCATTCCAAGCAACTGATGTTACACTATTGCCATCACTGGATAAATCACACAGTCTAGTCACCTGACTGGTACACGCAGACCATAAATATACACAGCTACCTAGGCCAACACTGAGAACATTCTGAGAGGACCAATCAACAAGATTTAAATAAAAATCGTCCTGCAATTCAGGAGCATCCAATACTTTAAAGGGTATTCTAGAAATTTTCCTTGTCGCTTTCCTGGGAGATCTTAAAAGTTTCTGACTTTTGGCACTCAAAGGTGATAAAGAATAAGGTGAACTTTGGTCTGACACTGCATGATCCTTTGTAGGTGTAATGTACTTGAAGAGATTTCTGGTCACTACCGGCGATAATATTCTTCGTTCTTCACACTGTCCTTTCACATCTTCAATGCTTGCTCCAAGCAATTCGTTTTTTAATAGACATGAATAAGCAATGCCATCACGATTACTTTCACCATTCTCACGAGTTTTCTTTGTGACTATACCATTTCGATTGTTTTCCGATATCATTGAAAATGTTGTTTGATAATTGTTACCAGATCGTGTTGGTATAAATCGATCGAAACTATTATTCATTATTTTAGTCGGTGAAAAATACACTGACGGGTGAGGTCTAGAACTGGCTAAATTATCTATGTGGCTCTCGCTGTTTGATTTCAATAGTCGTTTCTCGTATTCGTGATGAAACATTTTTTTTTAATGTTGCTTGCTCACAATTCGGTCACATAATTATACAACATACACCCTTGTTTTCGTTTAAATCACGTAGATTATACATTCATTGTCATTTTTCATACGAAACAGTGTATTAATGAAACGAAGCAAATTGTCTCTTTAAATCTCTATTCAACGTCAACTTGGAAAATTTTTGATATGGAAGTGAAGAGGTTGAACGTAATTCTCCAATCGAAATGCTTAGTTCAAAGCACTATGTTTGGAAACAGACGGGCAAACGATTGTAAAAAACTGCACTTATCCACCTAGTGTCGTACTAATAAAGTTACAGTGAAATGTTGTTTTTACATAGTATTATACAGTAATTTATATAGTATATACAGTAATTTCAAAAACAAGAAACAAAGGCCATTTATTGTTAGTAATAGTATGTGTTTTCATTTTATATAAACAATTTTACTATGTTAGTTTCAAATTTTATATTATAATATACTATATGCTATAATACTGTAATTTATACTATAATTTATACATACATACACACACACACACACACATACAATAATTTACTTTTATACTATAATAATATAAATCAATGACATTAAACAATGTTTTAGCATTGGTTTTAGAAATTATTGTTTATTGTTTCAGATTTCTATTTTTGAAATTAAAAATCAACAGTTTTGCAGTTATTATATATAACAATAATTATATATAACAAAAATTAAATAACATTTATACTATATGAAGTACATGATCAATATATAAAACATTTTTATATATTTTATACAAGAATTCCAAATTTTCATTTGAATTATAATTATATACATATGACATGATATATATGTATGTACTTAAAGTATAAAGAATAATTTTTTCAGTTTCTTTTTTTTAGATTTATACTGTCCGTATATGTGTATTATAAGTGCGCTTTTATATTATTTTGTGTGGTTTGCATATATATATAATTAAACAGTAAATATTTTGTATTAAGTTTTAATATTATAATATTATAATTATGTACATACGTAAAATTTCTATAATTATCTAAGAAAGATAAACTTAAACTTATCTAGAAATATAAGATATATACACATGTGTCAAAACTGACGTATATATAGCTGTGTGCATACGTATATACATGTATTGTATATTGTATAATCGGACAATTTTCGGATCAGTTTTCAAGGTACGTTCTTCTAGATATTTTATTGTCATGAAACTGTAAACAAAATTTTTAAACTTTGTTTAACGAGTCAAATTAACATTGTAAAATGATGGTATTAAGAACTTCATTTTTAAAATATGTACATGTCATGTACTAACCTCAATGTCCAATTTACAACTTACATAAGTTGCGCAACTGAGAAAAGATAAAAAATAAAATGGTAATTATCATAAAAATATTTTTGTTTTTGTACTCTAAGTACAATATAAAATGCGACTGAAGCTTTATATAAACAATTTTATTCTATAATTAGAACTTAAGGGACGTTTCTCTAAGAGAAACAATCTGTTCAATGATTATTATATTATTGAGTGCATTATATAATTATATCATTACATGCGATTATTTGTAGAATTCTATTTCTGTATCAAATATTGTGTTGATTATCCATCAAATCGTCAACTAGTGGGTGATTCGAATTACTTTTGACAGTTGCAAGTAAACCAAATATCTAATGATCTTTACATTATATATGAAGAGGAAAAAAAAATAATATTCTAATAATATATAAATTTATGATTTTATTTACTAACTAGTACAAAAAACAGTATTTTGGATTAAAAATGATGTGATTTAACTTTGCTACATGTTTGGAAGATCATTTTGAGAAATAGTATATTGTATATGTCATGAGTATATATTGTATTGGTACATTTATTGATACATTTAATATATACATTATTCATACTTATTGATATATTTTTTAAGGTGTGAAAGGAAATGTAATATGAGCTGTGTAGATAATCAGATATATTGAAGTTATTTAACTTTTAATGATTCTTAAAAGTATATTTCAGTGCAAAACCTAATACTCGTAATGAATTGATAGAAAAATTAAAGAGGCTGCTAGTATTATTAACAACAAATGCTAATATGGGATGAATGAGACCTATAGATGCTTACTTATGTGTATATTAGAAATAAAAGGTGATCATTTTGAATTTGTATAAATCAGTCTGAACCATTAAAAATAATTTGAAATAAATTATTAAAAGTTAAATAGTTTCAATATCTTTGCTTGCTCATGGCATTACATTTTCTTTCATATTTCTTTCATATTGTAACTTAGAGTTAAAGGATTATTCTTTAAAATTCAGCTCTCAGAGAGCTAATTGTAAGTTAAAAATAGAGAAATAATTTTTTAATAAAAATGAAATATTTTTTGATATATTAGAAAAAAATGTTTCAATTAACAAAAATTTGCAGAAATATTAAAAAAAATATAATATCATTTATACAGTATTAAAATCTGTGATCTACAAACCTCTATATCTTTTTGAAAAGAAATTGTAGAGCTTTTTGCTTAGGCTCATTTTAAAGAATAAAATCTTTATTTTCAGAATTCACCTTAAATTTTTCATTTGTAAAATTTCTACATCATGTAACAGGTGGAAAGTGAAGATACTTTCTTTTCTAAAATTTTATAACTTCAAAGGACATAACAAAATTTTCAAGTCCACCATAGATTTAAAGATTGGGATCTCTCTTTTACACAATAATCTTTCGAAAGTTGGTGTACTATTGTGTAATCTTCGAAAAATTAATGTACTATTTTTTTTATCACTTTATCACGCTTTAAATGAAAAATACGCCACTGACATTAGAAGAATCCAAAATACACCACGAGTTTGTACGATCGCATTTGTACTTCATTTGTATATGTTTAATGTATGTTAGTGAATACGTGTGTGCGCGCGCGCGCGTGTGTGTGTTTTAATATTCATTGTGTTCTATCAATGAATATTATTACTTCGTTATCATAACTTTTTGACTCTTTTATATTGATGCAATGTCATATTGTGCACTCATTGAAAGATGCAGTTTCAAAGTCGCCAAACTGTATCTTCCAATGCATTTAATATCACAGGATAACTTTGATATAATTTATCAATTACTTCATGTCAAAGTTCATTATTATTGTAGAAAAATTACAATCTGTTTTTATGGCAAGTATTGGCTGGTTAAAGCAGAGCCAGATAAAAAGAATTCATTGTATAGGAAGAAATTATTCATAGTATTGGACAATTCTACAACATATTTAAAAACTACCGAAAATTTTCGTTTCTTAAATAATTATAAAAACATTTGAAATTTAATTGAAAATATACATTTCATAATCATAGAGTGACAAATTTTATTATTTGTAGTTTCATAACATATAACTAGTTAAATTATTAGAAATTAATTCACATCTTACAAGTAACGCAGACTTTACAACTGCTTCATTGAAGCAGTTTGGAGGATAAGCAAGGATAAAAGTATATTTATACCTTGAATTTGTTACTAAATTGGCTATACATTCATGTCAATGAAAACATAGAAAAACATGAAATTAAAAAAAACAAAGATTGCCTTGAAATCTCAAAGATAATAAGATTTGTAATCATCGCAGGTAATAAAGTAAATTTTACTTGAAACATTTTCTTGAATTACGAATAGTTCAAAATAGAAGACAATTGTAATGTAGTTCACTTAAAATAGCATACCTTATACAACTGCGAAAATTACAAATTACTTTCCTGTACACTAAAATATTTTAAATTTCTTTTAAGAAAATTTAATTAGCTTATGCAAAATAATTTATTTGAACATTTGTAAAAATAATTACAAGATGTAAAGTAATTCAACAAAGGATAGTATTCATATTAATAATAAATTTATTTATTTCGTTGTTACATTCTCTCTATTTTAATTTTCAAAAAATAGATTCTTCAATTCAATATATTCAGTTCCTGAAATATTGATATTTATGAATTAAATTTGATCACTTTTAGACACTTATTATAACATATATTTAAATGTCTAAACATTTAATTGTAAATTAATAATTTAATTTCAGGTACAAATTTCTAGAAAAGATGGGAGGTCACGGCCATGGTCATGAGCCAGAATTGAAAATACCGAGCCCTGATATATACAAAGTAGAAGATGTGCCAGAACTTAAACTGGTTCAAGATGAATTAGCTAAACTTGGGTTGAAAGACCCTTGGTTAAGAAATGAGGTTTGGCGTTATACAGCACTTCCTGGTACTTCACATACCCTACGAGTAATTAGGGGAATTACAAAGGGTATGGTAGTTGGGTTTGCAGCATTTTTAGTAACATTGGGTGTAGAACATACTTTTGGGATTACTTACAAAGGAGAACATCATGGTGATGGTGATCACCATAAGGATGGTGATCATCATTAGTGTTGCATAAAAACATATTTAGTACATATAAGAAAATTAAATAGTGTTATTAGTATTATATGTACTATAGCTTTAAAAATAAATTATAATTTGAGTTACAAATGTGTCTTTGAAGTAATTAATTTTTTTACTACTTTTAATAAATATATAGTATACAATGTTCTTACTTACAGTGTCTTGTATATAAAAGTATTTTTATTTATCTATTGCATTATACATGACTTGTTGCAAATTTTTCGTCCATGCAAATTGTATAAATGATAATTATTATGTATTAATATAAATGTATCAAATTATCACACAATATTTAAAATTACTTACATAAAATGAATTACTTACATAAAATACAACTTATCTAATAATGTATGCTTATTTAAATTTTTTTTACCATTTTGTTTTATTATTGCAGTTAGCAGCATTGATATTGATACTGTAATTATAATAGCTAATGTACAATCGTTGCATAGCACAATAATTAAAGTAAATATTGAAATTTCAAATGTTGCAAATAACCATTCATTTCCATATAATAATGTTTGATTGAAAGAATAATTATTATCTGCAAAAGAATATATATAAATTATAATTAAAATTATTTTCTTTTTTCTCTTAAAAAGACATTACCGATATAGAAAATTGATTTTTCTTTATTACGAGAAAATATAATATTAAACAGTTTTTCAAAGAAATGTTGTTCTTTAATGGCATAGTCTTCGTCTGTTATGCAATGATCTATATATTTATATAGGTATTCTTTTATTTTCAATTGATTATTAAAAATATATTCCCAATTTATAGAAGAAGAATAGTAAGTTTTTATAAAATTACTTCGTTCCTAAAGAAGTAAATATAATCAATTAACAAAATAAATATAAAAGTAAATATAATCAATTAACAAAATAAATTTTTAAAATATAAAGGTTGTTTTATACATACGATCTTCATTAGTTCTAAACTTTTGTTAAAAGTAACTCTGAAACTTTCTGTTAAGTATAAAATAAAAGTTTGTTGAGTTGTTCCTGGTAAAAGACCTTTATGTGCGCATAAATTACTTTTTTCCATATGAAATCCATTAATTAAAGTTGGCAAGTCTGTGTCTGCAAATCCATGGACTGATCTGTCATAAAATATTGAAAATATTTACAAGCATTTTTTTGCAAGCAATTTATTTTTTATGTAATTTGATCATATATATTACCTCCCATGAATATAAAAACCGTAATAATTAAATGGTAAAATAAATAAGCTGATATTTGCAATTGAACATAGATTTATAAATTCTTGCATTTTATTTGTAATACATTGTTCATAGAATATAACGAACGCTAACCACTGCATGCAATAAGTTAAAATATATATTAAGACACATATTGTGAAATATAAAATAAAATTATAATCTTCAGAAAATGTATATATTCCAAAAATCCATGGATACAGTCGTATGATCTATTTAAAATGTATAATTTAGTTTTAATCATTCAATTTTTTTTTTATTGACTTACTGTTCTATAAAAAATATACATAAGAATTTACCTGGAAAATACATGTAACTGCAAGTAATTGTATCTTTATATTTATTTTTCTTTTCGTTTGAAGATTTAACCATTGATTTGCAATAAAGCATGTTCTCCATATACTAATAGGTGCATTATCAAAATTACTATTCTTATTTATTATTTGGGCAGAAATTTTTGATACTGAATTTGTAGTTGGAATGTTAGTTTTTTGTTTATTAATCAGATATTTATTAAAGTTTTTGAAATTATTATGTTTATTTAACTCACACGCAATTTTTTTGCGTTTAGCTGTTATTGTTTCTGATGACATTTGAAAATGTTTCAATTTACTTCTTGAAAGTTTATCAATATAAAATTCATTTATAGACATATATGGAAGATCGTGTTTACATTGATTGTATATCGTTTTTGATTGTTCCCAATCAATAAAGAATATATCAATATTCCAATATTGACAAATAAATCCAAACATTCCTATAAGCTAAATTAAAATTAATAAGATTGAAATAATTAAACTAATTAAATGCAATTAATTACATACTTATATTTTATGTTTAAACACTTACTTTAGAAAAGAATACTGTTGCAGTGAATATTTTTATTACCTTTTCATTGATATCTTCAGAGAAAAGGATATATGGTATTGTTTCTTCTTTATAAAATATAAATAGATATAAGCATAAAATGACCAAACATAAAATAATTATGCTTCCTATGGTATTCATAGTATAAATAAAAAACCAAATAAATACAAATATGTTAATAGATGAAGTGTGGTGGCGTTTACTGTAGCTCCATGTTTTTATTCCAGATAAAATTAAAATTAATCCTGATAAAATCCCAATAATTATCTAGAAACATATAGTAGTATGCATATAAAATATATTTCTTTGTTATTTTCTTTTTATTAGTATTTTATATTTTTACCATAAAATGTGGATCAACATTATCATCTTTTAGAATAAATTTAATTTTATAATCCAATGTAATTTCTGTAACTTTATCAATCTGTTCATATGTTAATTCAGCATATTCAATAATTAATAAAGGAGGAAATATTTTATTTTTATCCTTTGTATTTTGAATATTAATTCTGCAAAAATTATTATAACATAAAAGTTTGTTATTTTGATAGATAATTTGCTTGATAAAATCAAATAGACAATAAAAAACAAGTAAACTTACATTACGTTTAGAGATTTCATATAACGTAACACAGATAATTCATCATGCTTGTTATTTGTGAAATTTGATAATCTTTTAAAACCACTGATATTATCAACAACAAAAAATTTTCGAACTAACTGCCAATCTAATTTATTATTGTTCTATAAAATAATTAAAATTATACATTTATATTTAATATTTTAATATTTTTATAAAATAACATTTGAAGCGCTAGTTAAAATTTTATGCAACGATTAAATATTTATATTTATAAATATTTAAATTTATTGATTATTTCATAATTGACACTCTTACCTGGTTTATATTTTTAATGAGTACAGGTAATGCATACATTAAACTACTATTGTTTTTTGTAAATGTTAAATAAGGAGACATAAATTCTATTTTTGTTTGCATTAAATTTTTAACTGCAATTTTACATTTTTTTTCAAAATTAATACCAAAATTAACATGTTCCAACAAATTACATGGAATGTTAGGTGTACCAATTGATTTAAAATAACCATGTAAAGAAAATGTTGTAACTGTAAAATTTAATATATTATCCTAAAAAAATTAATAATTTATATTACCAAATATTGTATATTTAAATAAATTATTATAAATACATATGTGTTACGTACATTATTATTCTTCATCATGCTATAATTTTGTGTAATTTGCTTACTATTTAATACCGTTGTAGTGTCATTTTTATTATAAAATAACCATATAGGTGGCTTTTGTTTTTGCATAAAGAACTTACATGCATTATCATTAGCATAAATACTCAAGACACATATATTTGATAAATGTTCACATGCTAATTTATCTTCTTTCTAAAAATACGTGTACATTATTATCTCTTTACTCTTATATCCTTATTTATATATCCTTATATCCTTATTTACTCTCTTACCTTACAAAAATATATAGCAGTTTGAAGTTCACTTCTAAAATAATAACTATCTATGTTTTTATTCTTAAACTTCACTTGAAATGCAGTTTTTGGATTCTCTTTATCAAAATAAATATTTTTGTGTAAACAATAATTCTGTATTTGTGTATAATGGTACTTTGTTAGATACATATCATTTTCATAATAATTATATTCAAAAGTTTTACATGGTAAGCATTTAGATCCATCCAAAAACGGATAAGTATTATTAGGACATGGAATGCAATACATAGCATCCAATAAAGTTCCATCTAAACTTCTATCTACTATAAAATCATTTGAGTATGATTTAAAATAGTATAAATAATTAAAAAATAATATATCATAGATTGATGTTTTAATTATTACCTTGTATTTCATTGGAGCCACATGTACACAACGTATTGTTACATGGTACGCAATCGTTTCCATCTGAAGTTACAGTAGCGTTAATACCACAAAATACACATACAGGATAACCATTTTTGAAATCAATTTTTTTACTAAATTCATTACATATACATCGCAATCCTATAAATGAAGTGATTTAGGTATTTGTATAAAATATTACAAAAATTAATTTTATACTCACGATCGACAGATGGTTTTAAGTTTTTATCAGGATCACATAATATGCAAGAAAGTGATATGGTATCAAAATATTCATTACTTTTACATTTCGATGGATGAGAAAATTCAAATAACTCTTTGGCTAGAATAATTTGGATAAAATTTACTGAATAAATTAAGAAATAGAAAAAGACATTATTTCTTATAAAGCAGCACATTTTGTATTCATCTGACATTTCTATTTGTGTTTGGTTTTCGTTCCTATGGTAACTAGTCATGAAAGTTGTATATAGATAATATCTGACATGAGTTAAGAAAATGTACATTTGCATATTAGATGCAACCATATTTTGTATTTGTATATGATTTTCGTCTCTGTGACAATTAAGAAACTAAGAAAATCTACAATAATATAAAATATTAAAATACACTGCTATTCAAAAATTATTGTATATATATTCAAAAATACATTTATATATATAGACTATGTACATATATATATTTCTCATGAAATTTATGACACATGTATATTATTATTATTAAACGATATTTATTATGAATATAAAATCTTTTTATGAATACGTATGTATGTAATGTATTATAATAGTATTAAATTTAATTAATCAATTAAATTATTCAAAACTCTTAAATAGAGAAATATTTATTTGGTGCATTCAATATTGCCGAAAAGCTAACGAAAAGTTAAATGACAATTTTATAGTTGTTTGTTATTAAATACAAATCGTTCTGTTACATGCGGATATTTCAAGAAAAGAAAAGTGGACTTGATTTACATTTCTCTTTTTTCATTCTCTCTGTTTTTTTCACTCTCGCTCTTCACTCTCCATCTGTTTTATACTCTACCTACACTATGCTTTTATGCCATACTTAACAATTTAACACTAACCTAC